ACCCAGTTTCGGTGGAAGTGCGCGAGTTCGATTGGGATTCAAGTAGGAAGGGAGCGTCGCAGCTTCCTCGGACCAAGACCATTCGACTCAGCACCCAGAAGACTACAACTGGTGAAAATTTGATTTTAGGGTATACTTCCCCTTTAAGGTGGCAGTTCCCCTTTTCCGTATACTACACTCTTTGGACCAGAAGTCATGAACAGCTAGGAATATCCAAACCAAACTTGGCAGTGATGTTGAGGGTGTTCATACCTAGGTTCAGAATCATTTTTCACACATCTCACATATCTTGAAGTGCCGAACTTGCTCTCAGCCAAAATGCGTTCATATCGCACGTACAGGGCAAGGATTGAGCCAAAAAAGAACAGAGGCTAATGGTGCCCAGCAGTGTCAATTTGCTCAGAACTCATGCAGACTAACAGCTCAAGGTGCTAAACTACACTAAACCTTGTAAACATATGTACAGTGGAGCATTATGATTTTCAGTTTTACAGATCAGAAACGCGATGTTTACAGATAATTCAGAGACATACCAGTTGGAAGAACCTCGCTGGGATATTGACAGTTCTGTTTAGTTTAGCACCTAGCAAATTTCACATAGATGTGAATAATGCCCAAGATTATGATTCTATGACAAGTAAGTCCTGAGATATGTTGGCTCAAACTTGTCGGAGTCTATGAAAAAGAGGGTCAAATTCATGAAAAAGTACACTCCAGTTTCACCTTTCAAAAGCCACCAGCAGCATATGTTTCTTCTTCCTTGTGCTGTGCCTGATCCAGAAACCCTTTCTTCACTGCTCTGCAATGCTTACTTGCCTTTTGCTCCTCTTCTGACGACTTCCTACGCTTGTGGTACAGCTTTCCTCTTGAAAGACACCTAGATTTCTCTCCAACGACGGACTAACAGTGCATCCCATACGCTGTACTACTTCGGCAAGCTCACTGTGGACTTCATTGGACACGATCACTGCCAGGAACACAGCAGTCTCAACAGTTATGGAGCTACAGAACGATTCCTTTGGACAGAGATGTCAAATAGTGCCATTGAGTGCTTCATTGGCATTCTGTGTGGCACGACGAACACAGCCCTGTAGGAGGGATTTGTCGGCAAGATGGACATATACAGGTTTAATTTCTTCAAAGACTGCAACAGGGATAGTGTTGTTCGACGATGAAGAAACTGCCACAGAAACATTGCCATATCCACACTTCTATTGCTGCCACCTGCACCATGAGTCCTTCCGGGCAGAACTGATTGCATTTCTCGGCATCCTTGGACTGTACGTTGTGGCAAACAGATGCCCAAATAACACGGGCCATCGCTGTGACGAAGCCTGCAATCTTGCAGATAGAATTTCCAAAATAGTTCCGCAGGGAGTCTCCTTCCTTGTGCAGAAAGTACAATAGCGGGTCAACACTTCCACGTCCACAAATTTTTGCGTCTCCCAAGCAATCACAGTCTGCATGCCATATAAGGAGCTGTATCCTCGTCGCATCCATGTTCCGTCCGTTGTCACGGCGATTTCGGCTGGCGATTCCTCCCCGGCTGCAACTTGTTGTGTGAACACAACTTCAGCAGCATTTTTCATGCTCAAACTTGCACTAGCTTTAGCAGCTTGGTGAAGATTCTGCACGAGGCGCTGGTAGTTCTTCTTTCAACCGGCGCTGGCAAATCGAGGAATGCACACAATTTCCGGAAATCCTCGCGGCCTCGTTCAAGCAGGCGCATAGCCAGTACGCTCTTTCTATTCAATTCAAAATAACTGGATATCTTTCCCACTGCGGGCGGTGAAGCAACAGAAGTGCAGTAGTTGCATGCAACTTCAATTATGGAGACTAGGCCAGCTCTTACATTTCTGCAAACTGCTATTGTGGACAATAAATTCTGCAATTAAATTTAATTTCTGCAAACTAAAATTCCAGTTGTCAGAATCCAGGACTTCATCACTCTCCTCACTCGAGTCTTCATTGGAGTCACCAGCGCTCTCAGTATCCTCATCTGCAAGTAAGTTCAGATCGCCAGCCAAGGGTTCGCAGCTACGAGACGTGTCAGGTACTCCCAATTGCTCAGAGTCACTTTCAGTTTGAGCACGAGATGCAGACTCGTTTTCTTTCTCCAGATCTCTGCGCTTGGAGCTCTGGAACTGGTTCCCGTAGAAAACACGCTTCTTGGCTCTGTAGTTAGCGGACTATCTCCTCTTATTGCCAATGACCAGAAGACAAAAGCTACAGAGAACAGCGGACACGCCAATTTCCAAATTTTTCTGTACTTCCTTTGACGCAGATTTGCATTTTTTTTGTTCGTGCTGACACCGTACCAGTGCTGACCTGCTGACTGCAGAGCTGAGTAGATGTACGGGTCGGTACGGGGTACAACTACAACTACAAGTACAAGCCAACACGGCACACACACACAAAGAGCTGGCGCTCTTGGCACCCTCCGCGATCCACGCAGTGAACCGGAACGAAGATTGATCGCGCTTGCGAACTGCATTCAAAGTGGAGATCAGCTGATTTTTTACAAATTCGCAGTGGGAGTTGGTTTGAATTTTTAAAATTTCCCAACCGTCGTGTTGTTTACCGCATAAAAAATTACACCAGCGGAAAGTTCATCACTTCAGGAGGAAAATGAGCCGGATATGGCCTCATTCTGACAACTTTCGTTTTTTGCTCCTTTTTTTGGACCCAAAAGGGGATCTGCCACCTTAACTATCTTCCTTATTGGCCATGGACCATCGTGGACATAGAGAATAAGCTCTATTGGATAAATCACTGATTATTTCACTGGGTATAAGGTATCGATAAGAAGAACTCCCGTTATTACGAACAAATACCATCGGTCCCTTGGTGTTCGTCCTAATGAGGTTTGACTGTACAATGATTATGTACATGTACATTGTACACCCCATTCGCTTATTCTTGCTGGTACATGTACATGTACATGGTATGTGTACGGTTCCCCATACTTGACTAGTTAATTGCCACGTCCCTAGCACGTGCATGCATCCTAATTGTGTGATATGGATAAAGTCACTTTTTGTAGAATGTACATTGTACAATGTAGCTGCCTGGGATGCTCAGAAATAGCCGGCGGAATGCATACCATTAGTCAGCATAAGGTCATGATAGACTTGAGCCCCGAAAACCTTACTTACTGTCCATACATTTACATGATGTAGACGGTCTACGTGGTCGGCCTCAGTACTTAGGTATCCGTCCGTTGAATATACGGACCAGTGCAAAGACTCTATAAGCGCATACTAGTATATTACGACTCAGAGTAACATCACACTGTGACTCAAGCTCAGCCTCTCCTGTATACAGCTGCCTAGCGGATGCTCAGAATTTTCAGCATTCTAGAAAAGCGTCTTCGTCTGAACTGAAGCCAAGAGTGCTGCGGTGAAACTCCGGAACAGTTGTTAAGTTTGTTCCACAATACTCTCAACATTCCCATCATGGGTCCGAGCCCAGTGCATGATGCTGCAACTCCATTCCATGCGTTCAAGCCCTATTCAGTATTGCCAGTCACTGCATGTTGGTCAGTCACGCTACTGTGCCGGGGAGAATACTCTTATACATGTAGTACTTGAAGTACTGTGAAGTCACTGCTAGTAGTAGGGTAGGCGTGCATGGCCTCCTGGACTTGGAAGGATTCTAAATGAGTGTGTGACGAAGGTTATGTTGTCCCTGCCTGGCCCCTCAGCACTTCATCTCTCAATTGCATAATTGAGTGGCTGTTATGCAGCTTAGCATTGTGTGACGATCACAGTTGTCAAGATGCAAGTGTACCCCATGTCTGTCATCTCGAGTAGGCAGACATGGACAGTGAAGTTGTAGTGTAGTGGACAGCAACGCACCCCTGTTTGCCATTTGCCCAGTAACACTCAAACGTGAAGCAGTGAACAAGAACCAGTCCTTCTTGCATTAGTTCACCATCATGGATTGATATTAATCACATCAGGACTGGATTTGTTTTCTGACTGGATGGAACACCTTCGTCGAGAAAGAACCACACATGGATAAGTAGAGCCACTACACGGGGATTCCGAGAAGAACGCACCTGCACGGACGGTTCGGGACATCATCAAGACCGTACTCATGACTCATGTACTGTGATCTGTGCCGGAAAGTGTGTTTGGGCGTGTCTGTGTGCACATATTGAAAAGCATTAGTGAGGCACGAGCTCATTCTCACTCAGGAACGCTCACTTCAAGAAACATTAGTTCCTGCCAGCAAACACTCTAAGTCCTGCCTTGGTGAGTGCAGCAGTTACTATTGCGGTGGCGTGCTGTTATAACAGAAACTGTCCTGGCCAATTTTGACAAGACTGCTCTTCTTGGACACTACAAACTCTAACTAATTGCTTTGTCCTGCCCAGTGGAAGGCAGTACGAGTACAGGACAGTAGTAATAATACCATCTACCAGTAATCAGTGGTCTGGCTTAGTCTTCACGCTGGCACGGTCAGTATGCAGTATAATCATATGCATGCTTGGTAGCAAGAGTAGTTTACGTACTCTTGGTGGCACATGTAGTTACTGATGATACATGTACATGTACCAGGAAAGTAGTTGTACGAGTCCCTGGGTGATACCTACATGACTGTATACCTCCTATCTGTCAGTGTGACATTTTGTTGGACAACCCAATTAGCACTCGGTGCCAAAAATAGCAAGCGCTGAAATACTGTACCCAAGGCATGGGCCTGGGATAGCCGCACATATTCATACAGTGCTCGTAAGGTGCATGGCACAGCACGCTACAGACAGTATGCCATATTCTCCTGCATCGTGAGTTTTCAAGTTCATTTTCTCCGCCACCGCTCAGTATCCAGAACTGTGCCTTAGCACTTGGTGTGTTTGTGTGTGTGTGTGTGTGCATGTGGACCATGATTACTTGCCGGTTGGTGCAGATTGCACGATACTGTAGCAATATTGTTGACTAAGACCGTAAGAGTAGTGTGGGCTGTCTGCAGTAGATATTAGTTGGCGGTGCACATGGTGCACGGTGGCTCCTGGACCTGAGTCCTCCTAGCTCTTGCCCGTAGGTACACGTACCGTAGCTGCCAGCCCAGTCTGTGAGCTTGGCAATTGGGCGATGGTCGCAGGCGCGCCAGACAGATCCCCGGACTGTCCGCACTGTAGACAGTGGGAGTGGGGTCTTGCCAGATTCACCTGCAGGCCAGAGCACCCTATGTCACATCCCTCCCTCCCAGGCAAGTCCGGGTGCTCCGACGTCCCTACTCCATTGTCATCAAGCGGTCAAAAATGGCAGGTTGCTGGACAACTGCTGAGAGGAAAGGCCTGAAAACGTGCAGCAGACGAACGACGAGTTCTCGTCAACAACATTTTGTCGCAGCAGTTGCTGCTGTCAGTTTGAGCGATCACTCCACGTAGCTCTTGCTCTGTGCAAAGTCACCATCGCAGTCTGTCCCAACAGCCTGAATTGGTCAACACAGATCTACAGCCATCGGGTGTAGGTTCGCTCGAAGCTGAAGGTTGGAACCACCACAACGCCGACTGTCTAACCACCGCACGTGCCAGCAGTCGACACGAACAGGTCCGTATATCGCCCGGCTGGCTTATGCTCTAGTATATTTATTCTGGCTTGGACGAGACCGCTTCTGTTGAAGGCCATACCCATAGCATAGACCTACCCTATTACTAGTATTACTATTAGCGGTGCGGTACCCAACCACCGACGGTCAGTAAACCCTTGGCCTGACTACTACTGTTGTCTGTACCAGTGCCAGCGGAGTGTGGCAGAGATCTTGTGTATTCTGGATTCACACGTCTGTGCTTGCAGTGAATCGTTGACACAATCATGACGGGACTTTGAAAATGAGCAGAGCTAATGTAGATCTACTAATGAATAGCACAACGATCACCATCATCACTTGACGGTGACAGCAGGACAGGACTGGCAAAGTAGGCTCGGTGGGGAAGGCCGGTAAACCTGTGCTGGCCTCTTTTTTCTGGGAGTCCTGTTGTATTGTACTGTGCGAGACTCTCTGAGAGCCATGGTCGCTTAGTGGCGGGCTTCTCTCTTGATGATCGACGACTTGGCCGCCGGAGTCTGTCCGTCAGTAACCGTGCCGGTATCGCATCGGAGTGGAGCAGACGAGATCCAAGCTTGCCAGCTTGGATTAATCAACTCGTGACAGTGGCTGCATGGTGTATGTCAGCAGCACAAAGCAGAGCGGCACCGGGACGACGGACACCGACGGTGAGCACATGGTTGCGCCGTGCCCAGCCTGGCAGTCCCTTCGGGGAACCAGCCGATGGAAGCGGAGCACTTCTGTTCCGGCCGATTGGAGTAGAATTATTTTGCGGCTTGCATTTCTGCTGGTTGCTTGGTGGTCACCCAGTGCGAATGGACAACAGTACTGCACGCGAACAGCAGAATCGGCGTGTGCGCTGGTCTGTACGTTTGCGGAGAACAACGCCGCCAACTTGGTGCTGTCGAACGATGTTGGATCGCTCATGGATGTAAACAGGACGGGAAGAGTGACTCAATTCAGCGTTCAGTTGCAGACCGCGAGTGCACGTGGAGTGGGTGTTCTTGTTGACAGTAGCACAGGACGATTACTGGTGAATACATCTGTGGATTACGAGGGCTTGGCCTCTACCTCTGGACTCATCAGTGCTGTAATCTTGGCCAATCAAACCATGGGTAACGGTGGAACTGGAACATCGACTCGAAAACTCCTCAGCTGCCACTTGACTATCAATGTGACGAATGTAAATGAACGGCCATCCTTTCCTCACCCATACTCCATGAGCATCCCAGAGAACAGCCCTGCAGGCACATCCGTTGTTCAAGTGATGGCCAGTGATCCGGACCATGATACGCTGGTGTACTCGATTGCATCGCACACTTCACACCCCAACCTCGTACCGCAGCGGTACAGCGATGCACAGCTCGGTGTGTTCACGTTTGCTATTGACACTTACAATGGGTCGATCAGTGTGAGCAATGCCAGCAGTTTGGACTACGAAGTCCTGAGTCAGTACACGCTGTATGTCGTTGCCACTGATGGTAGCCCATTCCTCGCTGTAGCCATCGTCACAGTCAACGTTATTGACAGAAATGAAATTCCGCCGAGCGTAACGCTATTGGATCCCTATCTGAACGTGATTGCGGCAGTGCATTCGTTAGCCGAGGGTCAGTACTTGCAGTCTGAGCGGCTAGGGTACTTTGAGGTTCACGATGCCGAATCGAATCCTGTCTTCAATGCCAGTGTTGTTGGTGCAGACGGTCTAGTCCAGCTGCACGCACTGTTCCCGGCGACGCGGCCAGTCGGCAAAGCACACATCTACCTGCTTAGCACAGTGCCGGGAGCTGTGTTCGATCGGGAACTGCAAAGCGTCTTCAGCTTGAGGATCATAGCAAGCGACAAGCAGCTTCCAGTGACCCTTACGGGTGAGACCAACTTCACGCTAACCATCACAGATATTGACGATGCTTCACCACTGTTCTCGCCTCAGATATACACGGCCAGCGTACAGGAAAACCTGACTGACTTCCAAGGCCATCCTGTTGTGCAGGTTCATGCTACGGACCCTGATGAAAACGATACAATCATCTACTCGATACAATCAGTTACCAGCATCCAGAGCGATGAAACCAGGACCACCGTGACAGTTCCATCTTTCTACATCGGCAGCACAGATGGTCAGGTATACACATCCAAGAAGCTGGATTATGAGACTCTCAACATGTTTGAATTGGTGATCCGAGCTACATCCAGTAGAAATTCCTCCCGCTATCACAACGCCCTGGTGACAGTTTCCGTTCTCGACACAAACGACAACCTGCCCGTTTTCTCCCAGTCCGAGTACGTGTTTCGCATCCGGGAGGTCAACGAGGGCTCGCAGTTCATCGGAATGGTTATGGCTAGCGACAGAGATAGTGGGCGGAATGGCTTGGTGCGGTATTCCCTGTCGAACACGAGCACGTTCAGTGTGCAGCAGACCAGCGGAGAGATTTACACGTTGCCTCACCTGTCGCTGGACCGCGAGGACAAGAGCCAGTACAGTTTCGCTGTGTTTGCTCTGGACAGTGGCAATCCTGTGCAAACATCCACGGCGCGGGTGCAGGTAATTGTCAGCGACCTCAACGATAACGGGCCGGAGTTTGTGTCAGTGCCCAGCAAGCCAATACCTGTGTTCACCAATGTGCAGGTTGGTACCACAATCCTAAGACTGTATGTGCAGGACCCTGACACGCCGGAGAATTCACACGCAGACTTTGAGCTCTTACAGGGCAATGCTGCACAAACCGAGCCGTCAGCGCAAACATATTTCACCCTGCGTCATGGAACCAACTCCTCCGTATGCATCACGGTGCTAAGCTCGCTTAGAGATCTTGGAAACGAAACATTCTCGTTCTTCGTAAAAGCCGTTGATCCCGGAGCCATAAATGGGCAGGAAGGAGCTGCGCAGGTGCCTATCACAGTGCAGACAGTCGCCCTAAATGATCCCAGCGCCTCTTCAAGCAGCTCGCTATCCACAGCTATTCTGATCGTCATCATATTGCTTGCTGTGGGTCTTGCACTATTCCTTCTCAGCCTGATCATCGTGAAGGTGAATCTGCAGCGCAAGAAGAAACGCTTTACATTGCAGGACAAACAGGCCGACAGATCTCTTGGCGGCGCCCACAAGTCACATGACCATGTTGTGGAGAACCCGGCTGCACACGAAGGCAGCTACAGGGTGCGTCCTGAATCGCTGCAGATTACCAGCAAGAGCACGGAAAGCCTGAACAACACCTCAGCCACCACTAACACTGCCAGTGACACAGATCAGCCACCGATGCACCACCAATCTCTCAGCTACGGCGCTGGCAACTTCCCGGAGAAGGCCAATAGTGTGGATCATCTGGCGGGAACGCCCATCGCACTGCGTGAGGTGACCAAGTCGAAGGGACGCTCCCGCTCCGTGATATACAGTGCTACGATGGGGGAGCTGGACATGGAGCTCGCCACGCCAATGGACTCCGACAGCAGGAGCACAGGCGGATGGAACAGACAGGGCAGTACCAAGACAGTTGAGACGCAGCTGGGCAGCCTTGCCACGACGCCATCGTCCGGTTCCACAAGCCGGAGCGGGTCGGCGTACTTTCCTTCACATGAGCCGAATGATGCAGCTGCAGCTGGCGTTCGCTTAGCTAAAGCTCAGTCACAGTCGGAATACTCACTAAGCCAATCACGACCACAGACCCTTACCGCCGACTATCGGAGACAAAAGCAGCATGTACCAAAGGCAAATGGTACACCGCAGAGCTCACCTCGAAAGCAGCAGAGCTCACCTCGAAAGCAGACCTCTCCACGCAAGTTCACCAACATGAATGGTGGTAGTCTGCACATGATGGCGCACAAGCTCGAAGCCGGCCGCTCCATGTACGGCTCAACTCCGGGTTCTCTACCCACGTCCGGACGGAGCACTCCAAACTCACTGCCCAGCACCGAAGACCTGGGCACAAGGACCTGGTCGCCATACCGAAAACCAATGATCGAGAGACATCACTCAATGAACAGGGGGGATAACCCCCCGCGTGTGAGGCGCCACATGTCATTTAACTCCAGACATCCAGAAATGCAGGTATGATGTGTTGTACCGGCTGAGATTCAAGTTTGACCATAACTTGTCCAGTTCATAGATAAATCCGGGGAGTAGTATAATACAGTATTGTACTACTCCCCGGATAAATCTACACCTTCAGCATATACTATATCTGTGCATCATGGCACGCACGGGCCAATGTGTGACGGCGTACGGCGCGGACGCAGATGTCCACGTTAGAATCACGGCTGTCTTGAATGCATGGCGATTGGCAGTATGGTAGCGGTACATGAATTTATGACGATGACATGTACTGCTCGCATTGCTGAACTACATGTGGTGCGTACTCGCCACCGGAGCCGCCATTAGCAGAACCTCGGAGTTACGAGTACTGCTAGTATTGTATGCGCGGCTCCCATTGCTTTATCAGCATGGCACACACAACATAACTGCTATAGTGCACCATGGCCGCCGTATACCCATGAGTTGAGTTGATTCTTTCCAATTGTATACATTGTTGAGCTGTTCTGGTCCATACCTGGAGTCGTTGAAATTGATTTTCATGCTAATTTAATGTTTGAAGTTGACAAAGTAAAACAGTTTTCTATTGTGTGGGTCTACATCTTCAAGGGTTCCGTCTGATGATGGCAGAGTTGTCACTAAAAAATAATAATAATCTCATTCCCTCAAAACCAGTTAAAATAATAATAATAATAATGTTTTTGAAGGTGAAGCTGCAAGCGGACTCCGTCACAATTAGTGTGCGTGGAAGCGCTTGATGGTATGCAGCGTACAGACTAGAGTGAATATCGTAACGGCAAAAGAGAATGTCTGGCGGCCGTTTTCACTCCAGGCCATTGGGCCCCAAATGTCCCAATGACCACGGCCTTACCATACACTACAGGTAAGCTTGACGATTGCCGACCATGCAGTCAAACAGCCCGACGACATCACCATGTCACTGGTAATGGTCGGCTGATTCATGGTATGTAACTTAGCGTGCATGCTTGCTAGCAACACTTACAGCTGCCAAGTCACCTATGACGTCATTGACGAGCCTACATACCGGTAACCATGGTAACTGGCACTGAATTTTGATTTGAAAAAAGGAGTAAACATTATTAGCAAGAGTCCATAAACAAGAGTATGCAACTGTGATCTCTTTTCTATGCACTTTCGCCACCACAATTCCGAAAATTCGACTACTTTTTCGACTCCTGTGCCGCCACATTCCGAAAATAATTCCGAAATTCGGAATGCAAAACCTCTCTACTCTGTATGGGCATTACATCATTTAGCCGCAGTCCGCGGACCGCGGAAAATCGAACACCGCACTTTCCCTTTGGTTTGAAATACGCACGGCTACAGAAACAAAAAATACTAATAATAATAAATAAGTAAATAATCGACGCGGAGACAACATTTTATAATAGCTATAAAGAGAACAAATTCTGCTGTCATCGCCACACTACAACAAAGTCATGAAGGTTTACCAAAATCGATTTTCTTGTCACAATCATCAGTGGAAAGCCGTGACTGAAGAATAACCATGCCAAATCAATAATTTATATACATTCAATAATGTGTTATGAGAACAAAGCAAAGTGCTAAAAATAGAATGAGGGAAGGTGAGACAATCGTAGATTCCGCTAGGACCCGCAGGGTCCGACGTGGAATCGGGGTTACACGAGGAGTGAAGGCGAAGAATGTGACAGTGTGTTTGGCCTCAAATCGCTCTAGTTTTCCATAAATTTCCAGCGGTTTAAAGATAAAAATGCAAATGCACGCCTTGATTACACCTAGCACCTCTTGCTTTCTTTGGCCTTTTCTGAGCGACCAAAATGATAGTGCAATCAAGAGTAGTGACAGTGAGGGGTGGGCGACACCAGCACAATGGGCGGGAACACACTGTCACATTCTTCGCCTTCACTCCTCGTGTAACCCCGATTCCACGTCGGACCCTGCGGGTCCTAGCGGAATCTACGATTACACTTCGGAGCTTCGGCTTCGAATGTGACAGTGTGACTTTTAAAGTGATCCACCACCTCAACCAAGGCAAGGGTGTAGCCAAGCATTATGCGCGAAGGAGAAGTGCGCATGTGGAGTGAAGGAACAGGCATCTCGCAGAGTGCCTGATATACAGTAAAAATGTCTCTATGTATCGAGGATACACCATATGTACAGGTGCCCTTCAAGTCGGAGACATGAAGGGAGAAAAGGGTGACAGTCTATTATTAAAAACGACTAGCACCGGACACAGATAATAATACTGCGACACCATGGCGAGGCTGTGTCAAAATATGGAATGTCACAGTACTCCTCGAGCCAGGAATGTGGACAAAGAAGTTTGTCCCTTGCAAACCAAGGAACCAGAACCATGTATCTACATACAGGTAAACCTGCCTTAACCGGACGCCCGTGGTGCAGCGGAAACTGGTCTGATATGACATTATTCCGCTTGACACAGGGATGCACGTTCGATCCACAGCCCTTTGGTGCAGGAACATTTCCCGGTCAATACGGGATTCTGCTTGGTATAGGAGCAAGCAAACACAGGTAGAACTGTACTTGCGAAACAACAATATGAGCATGGCAGAACGGCATTAAGTTATGGGCGTGACTCTGGGCATGAAACAAAGCACTCGCCGGTGCTTGCAAAGCCACGAGACCATCGTTCATCACCAATGGACTAATGGTTAGAGTGTGACAAGGCCCCCCGACAGGGCCTGCCCAATGGCGTGACGGAAGCCACCATATCTACAATGACCGCACAGTCCACCGACATGGGTGGATGCGAGTTAGGCACAGACATTGGAAAGGCACTCCTGCTTTTCATGAAATTGCCCTGACCACACCAGGAAGGCACGACTCAGGGCAAGAAACAAAGCACTCGCTGGTGCTTGCAAATCCACGAGACCATCATCCATGGATAGTGGATGGATGGATAGAGTGGTTAGAGTGCGGCAAGGCACGCGACAGGGCCTGCCCACTGTAGAGACCATCGTCCATCGACAGTGGACGGATGGTTAGAGTGTAGCAAGGCACGCGACAGGGCCTGCCCACTGGTTCGACGATCGTCCATCCGCAGTGGATGGATGGTTAGAGTGGCTAGAGTGTGGCAAGGCACGCGACAGGGCCTGCTCACTGTACACTATCGTCCATGGACGGTTGACGTATGGTTAGAGTGCGGCAAGGCACACGACAGGGCCTGCCCAGTGGTGTGACCATCGTCCATCGACAGTGGATGGATGGCTAGAGTGTGGCAAGGCACGCGACAGGGCCTGCCCACTGGTGAGACCGTCGTCCATCGACAGTGGACGGATGGTCTGAGTGTGGCAAGACACGCGACAGGGCCTGCCCACTGCCGTGACAGAAGCCGCCGCATATCCGCGTCGTCCATCGATGGGGTTGGATACCAGTTACTTGTAGGTACAGAGATTGGCAAGCCACTCGCCAGGGCCTGCCCAATGACGTGACGGAAGCCGTCTGTTGATGTTGCTACGCGCTAAGCGCAGAGCCTTGGCAAGGCACTCGAAAGAGCCTGCCGAACTCGTGAAGGCCGCCCTGACCCAACCGGGAAATCGTGACTCGGGGCATGAAACAAGGCACTCGTCGGTGCTTGCAAACCCACGGAACCATCGCAGCGTCGCCATCAGCATTGGCCGCCGAAAAGGCCGAAATTTCCATATCGGCACAAACTAGTTACTTCAGCACTTACCTACACGGACAGCACGTCGATCCGGTAGGAACTCTTCCGAGCTTCAGCTTCGGAGTCATTATTACACAACAGACACTGCCATAGCGGCAGTAGAAGACTGAAGTCTCAAGGATACTAGACAAAGGAAAAAGGTAACCTATCAGCAAAGAAGCGAAAGAAAAGGCCAAAGAAAGCAAGAGGTGCTACAATCAAGGCGTGCATTTGCATTTTTATCTTTAAACCGCTGGAAATTTATGGAAAACTAGAGCGATTTGAGGCCAAACACACTGTCACATTCGAAGCCGAAGCTCCGAAGTGTAATAGAAGTAAAGTGAGAGCTAAGTCTAGTAAGGGGCCGTCCCTAAATATCGATGTTTTTTTAGAGACGATATTGGTGCGTCTGGGGGGGGGAGGGGGTTTGAGCCATGTGCCTCTTTTCGAGCATCAGAAAAATATCGATGTAAATATCTGAAGTTTCGCCGATCCCTGCACGCGGACGTCTAAGCTAAATGGCTATACAAGAAATGTGAAACCAGCTTCCGTTCGCGGAGCTAAAACTCGCGACACAAGAACAAAATCAAAAATTGGAAGCTGTACGCCCATGGCGAATTTCAAGAGCAAAAGAATGAGCTATTGATTGTGGAAATCGGCCGAACGATGCCTGCAGGAGACCTTTTTCAAGACGTAGAGGCAGTGCGAACAAACACGGACGAACTCCACAAGAGTTTCCAGTCTTCACTGTCTGAACAAGGATTTGAAAAAATTCAAGCCCGAGCGTAGCCGCTTTGGCTACACCAGTACACGATGGCTGTGAGCACTGCAGCGCCAACCCGGTTCGCTCCCCCCAGGCGATGCAGAGTGCGGCGGGATTTTCACGCCTACACCGGACCGGTGTCGACCCTCAACATCCTGGGCACTTCATGAGCATCCAAAAATATTGATTCCATGATCTAGATGTACATGTGCGTCTTCTGGGGGGAGGGAGGGGGGGTCAAGGGAGAGAAGCACCAATATCGTCTCTAAAAAAACATCGATATTTACGGACGGCCCCTAAGTGCAACAGGGGGTGAGGAACTACTTGCAACGCTAGAACGGTGTAGTGAGACAAACAATCATGCTGTGCACCTACGAAAACAATCTTAACGCAACTACATGTTTCTTCTGCTTGCAAAGATCAGGCTTATGCAAACGAATACAAACAGCCTCAAGTACTTTCAACTGACTAGCGTACCGTGCACGACAAAGAACAGAAAAACTAAAATCATCATACACCTGCAGACACTTAGGGTGAGACAACAGATGAAGAAAAACGGCAGACTTCTTACGATCACAATCACCATCCGATTCCTCGTCTCCACCAATCGCAACCTCGTCCCCCGTCTCATCTTCCAACTCGTCCTCAGTGTCGTCCTCCGTGTCATTCTCCTCATCACCACCGATCGGTCCCAGGCTCGCTTCACGTTGCTGAACCTCTGTTCGTTGACTCCTCCTTTGATCTTGATGGTAATTTGTTACCATTGTTGTTGTTGTCATTGTTGTTGTTCCTGTTGTTGCTAAAATATTCTGTTCCCAGTGTCTTCGCCGGTGCTTGACATCCAGTACTGTAATAATTCATTGAATAATTAGCCGTTGATCGTCTAGGTCTTTGAATGTTGATCGTGTCGTTTTCTCTGTTGAATTCCGTTTCCTTCAGCCTTCTTTCTTCTTGTTCATGTTCAGTGCTTACCTCATCCATATTTGCCCGTGCCAGCGACACCACAGACTCAGCCCCAGCATTGCCGATGGCAGATGCAGGTGGCGGTTCTGGGGGAGGCAACGGCAACGATGGCGATGGGGGCATCACCATGATCACCTCGTCGCAGCGTCCACTTTGGTCATGAGCTGGATGTTGTTGTGGTGTACTTTCTTGTGTTGTTATGG